AATGTATCCCGCAGTCATAAACGATCAATTCAGAATCTGTAGCAACTATTATATATTCCTGGTAATACATCCAAATACTTTCATAGAAAATGCTTGAACATAATCCCTTTTGGAATATAATGAAAAATTTGCAGGAATGCATCCATCTCAAATAAATAAGATCCAGTTTTGTCTGGCATTTTGCTAGGGATATAATATTGAAACTGATCATCTTTTTGGGTGGAAAGTGGATTAGGTAGTTTGGCTCTATTAATTTTCCTAGATTTCTCATCGAGTTTCAGTATCCTCAACCATGATGTCCATCTGGCCTGGCTAGTGGAATTGGGACTTAGATTTCCAGTCCTTCCAATCAGGCTGTATCCAAATGTTGGTGGTGGGACACCTTTTATATAGAACACTAACTTATGATGTCCTGTAGAATTTGATTTATTCCTCATGTTGTTCAACTTCTAGATAAAAAAAAAGCCTAGAAAAAATATCAGAATTTTGGAGTGGAGTCCTATCGGCTTGTTATTCCTCCTCACCATCCAAACCCAAGGGATTATTTGCATCCTTGAATATTATCTAAGTCCTGTTACATAGTATTTCCATAATTTAATTCTCAGTTAGCACAGATGGTTTTTTCAAGACCCTGTTTTAAAACACTTTTCCTTCTTACTGTTAGTAGGTAGACTCCTTATCCTCAGAGACTTTCTTTTTGTGGTTCTAGCAAGGTGGAAGCTCTTGCTTATATATTTTCTTTTCTATGATATCCCAAGACATACTTTGCTTTCCCTAACTAAGGATCATACAGAAAGAGTTTATTATCTTCTAAAGCAGGCATGTCAAACTCGTGATGTCACGTGACATATCACGACTTTTCCCCCATTGCCGGCAATTGGGTGGGCGCAGTTTCAGCGTGATGCATCCGGCCCGTGGGCTACAGTTTGACATGCCTGTTCTAAAGGAAGCTGTCTCCTCACTTCAATTTTAAGTTGCAAAATAGCTCTACAAAATACAGACTACAAAAATATGAAATATACAACTGTACAAAGCTCTGATTAGATGTGTTGTTTTACTGTTTATTCTTCTATTATAAGCAGTTCTACCTTCTTTATTTGTGATGTTGGTCAAAACCCATAATAAACATGTATGTATGTATGCACACAAGCATGTATGTATGCTTAATAATGGGCTGAATAAGAGAAAACAGGTTGAAATCAAATCCAGGTAAGTCCAAATCCAGGTAAGTCCAATATATATAATTTGGAAACTAAGTTTCCCAAGTACTACGTTTCTCAACTTTCCAAGTACATGCAATTTTTGATAGAGTTGCAGTTACTGTGAAAAAACATCTTTAAATCTAAGATTTCTTTGTGACCTGGAACTGTTATTGAATTCACAGATAGCAAGTGTGGTGAGGAAGTCGTTCCATAATTACACTAATGCAGCAACTGTGAGCTTTCCTAAGCTGATCAGTTTTAACAGAAATTATCCACACCTTCATTGCTGATTCCTTTCACTACAAAACGTTTTGTAGTATACTACCATTTTTCAAAGTGTCTGAAAGTTGCTATTAATGTAATATGAGTTGAAGCTGTTAACTGTGCAAAGTATAAGGATCATATATTAAAGATAGCATGTTGGCAAATTGTTTATCTAGCACAGTTTTAGGTATAGTATTACTATTAACCTTTAAGTTTAGGAACACATTTAAGAACTCACTATCTTAAGGAACTGCATATGGAATTACAGATCTATAATTATTATAGATCAATCTGCTAGTACTTCAGTGATTAATTACAGCCAAATACTGTTCTATACAGTAATTTCTCTTCAGACATTAGATACTTTCTGTTTTGAAATATTTCAAATGAAGCTATCCTTTTAGTGTATACTTTTCCTAATGTTTTTTATCCCTACTATTAACTCATTGTTATTTCAGTTTTAATTTCATCAGCTGTCAATATAGATAATAATCACCATAATGAGATTCTTAAAGAAATTTCTCACCAGATCCCACAATCCAGGTATCGTCTTTGAACAAAATACATGCATGCAAATCTGAGGTAGGTATAGAAACGTTACCATAAAAGAATTGAGAATATTGCACTTTCTTGTTATGAACTTTTCCAGTTTTTAAGGACCATAAGAGAAGCCCCTCTCAAGATGTTCCTGCTTTTGGATGCTTGCTGGTATGACAAATAGGGCGGGGGACTTTTTTTCTGAATATGTTCCTAGATTAGGGAATGCTTTCCCTTAAAAGTGGTGTTTGGCCTTTATTCTTTCTGGTTTCAGTCATGCAGTTAAAACACATCTCTTTCATCAGCCTTTTGTTACTTAATGTTGGAATTTGTTTAAATTTGCATCTTTGATTTTTTTTAATTTGTATTTTGTATTTTATTAGCTATCATCTGCTTTAAGCACTCAAAATCATTACAGAGTGATGACTGAAATCAAAGCAATATATATATATATATATATATATATATATATATATATATATATATATATATATAAACAATCACTAAAAGAAATTTCACTCAGGAACTTTGAAGCATACCAACTTGATGTAGAAAATATTTAAAGTAGGGATATCTAGAAACCTTCTTCATGATTTCAGAAATCTACCCATGAAATAGAGATGGGGACACACATCCCAGCATTTTGCTATTGAATTTCAGAAATGTGATTTTAGGGACTCTGGAATGGTTGTGGTATAAGGAGCTGAGGATGCCTATTGCTCACCTTTCCTTTTCTTCACCTTCCCCTATTCTTACCACTTTCTACAGAGGGACAATTGAAAGCATCCTTTCATACAGCATCACAGTCTGGTTTAGAAGTATCACTGCTTCAGACAGGAAGGCAGTGCAGAGAGTGGTGAGGATAGCTGAAAAGATCACACTAAACATCCTCTTCACGAACTGTTTTTCCTGTTACCTTCTGGAAGGAGGCTCCATGGTATCCGAAGCAGAACATCCAGATTGTCACAGTTTTGTTCCATACAGTATTAACCTTGTGAACTCTAAAACTTCCTCCTTCCGTTATGTATTCAAGATGGACAATGAATAGTATTTATATGTTACTTATATGTAAGGGTGTAGGTCTGTACATATGTTGTATATAATATGTTTTAAATGTGTGTTATGTATGTGTATACTTTGAGAGCAAACAACTAAATTTCATTTTTAACTTGTGCCATTGTGCCCACAGGAAAAAATGACAATAAAGGTTATCTAATCTAATCTTTAGATAGAACAAATTGAGCTTTACAGAAGTCTTATCTGTTAAAAAATCTTTAATTATTTCCCCATTTTTGATAAACATATAGATATAACCAAGAAAATATTTCATATGTAGAACTAATTTGCTTAAATGATTGCATTCTGCGTGGATTTTACTAGGTCTGGGTTTCAAAAATCCAGAGAGCTAGTGTATGGCAGCAGCGGGATGCAGAAGACACTTTTATATTCTGTGATCATTTGGATTTCTTCAGCCAGATCAGTTAGATCCATTTTAAAGCTTCCTGAACAAATTTTCTCACTTCCTGAACAAATTTTCTCGCTGCTCATTACATTTGGTGGCAACATATAAGCAAAGGCATTCTAGGTGGTTGATTCTGACATCTGAAAATTTGCGTCTAAGGAAGAAATGGTAGCTCTGTTTCCTTAACAGAAAGTAATGACAGATTTGTGGCATCTACAGTGACTTTCTGCTGAAGCCCCTAATAATGTTTATTACTGGTCTTGACCTATATAAAAATGAACAAATGAGATTTTAATGCAGTGGAACGAGTTCTGTTTTTTTATGGCTATATTCTAACTGACTTGCTTTATTGTTTCAACTATAATTGTACATATTATCATTGTTGGCCACCTTGAAGCTTATCTGTAGGGAAAAAATGTAGGTAGAAATTTTATATCTTTAAGTAAAACAAAATAGCTAAAACAGACATAATTTGTAAGCCTGCACAAAGCTTTGACAGGGAGATTCAAAGCAAAGGTAATTTAGAATAGAATTCTTTATTGGCCAGGTGTGATTGGACAAACAAGGAATTTGTCTCCAGTGCATAAGCTCTCAGTGTACATACAAACAACAACAAAACAGTAAGTCACAGGTCATAAATCTTAAGATACAATCATTAAGTTATAAGATACAATCATTAAGTCATAAGATACAAACAACAATTGATTAATCATAATCTACAGTACCAATAGGAAAAGGTAATAGGAGAGTTGAGAGGTGAGAAAGATGAGGAGATGAAAAGGTAGGAAAGATGAGAAGATGATAAGGATAATAGCAATACAGATTTCTATGTGGGTAAATATATTTAGGCATAAGACAGTGCTATGGGAGTTAGGTGTTTAGCAGAGTGATGGCATGGGGAAGAAACTGTCTTTGTGTCTAGTTGTTTTGGCATTCAATGGTAATGGTGTCTTGAGGGGAGAAGTTGCAAGAGTTTATATCCAGGATGTGAGGGATATGTAGATATTTTCTCAGTCTTCTTTCTGGTTTGTGAAGTGTACAGGTCCTCAACGGAGGACAGGCTGGTTGCAAGTGCTTTTTCTGCAATCCTAACTATCTTTTGAAGTCTGTACGTGTCCTGAATAATCCTATCAGAACACAAATGCAAAATGAAGTGACACAGTCTTTTTTTTCTTATTGGATTGGAACAGCCATGATATTTCAAGTTGTCTGTTTCTTTGGCCCTTCAGTGTTCTTCTGTTCAAAGGCAATGCCCACAAAAGCTAAAGCAAAGCAGCACATAAAAGCAAATTACTTCCACCTTAATGTTTAAGAGAGTGCAATGCACCTGATGGTTTACTTTGGGGACTAAATCACATTGCATCACTGCAGATGCCCAAAATGAAATATTGAGATAGATTGTGCCATTTTTTTAAACCCAATAAATGGATAATGCAGAAGGAATATATTTCTTCTATGTATTTTCCTTAGCCTTTTCAAAATACATTATCCTAGTATTGTTGGAAACACAATTATCTCTAAAGCTGCCTTAAGTTGCAATGTAATTAAAGACAGTTTTGTTTAACTGATAGAGGGCTTGGAGGTGTTTCATGAAGGGAACTATTATGCATTCATGCATGCATCAAATCGAATCAATAAAATTAGGATTCAATTGTCAAAGGAAGAAGCATCTCAGCTTTTCTTCATCTGTAGATTCTGTATGCATTTTTGATTAAGCTTCCAATAAGGCTTTAATTTTATTTCGTTACCATAGTGAATAGTGCCGATAGCCTTGCTGAGCAAACCTACTCAATTCAATGAAGCTTAAATTCATTGAGATATGGATCAATTCAATGAAAGTAATGCTGGGTTCCTAGTCTAGCTGATTCATTGGATTTTGCTCAGTCATATGCTTTAGATTATGCTATAATCAAATCATTGTAATCCTCTTTTCCATAAGGGGTATCCATATACATATATGTGTAGAGGAAGAAGGACACCAGACATATACTTCTTTCCTTGATCCCCAACATTGTGTGGTCCATTGATCTCCCCTTTAATAATCAGACAGTGTGATATTTATACAGAAAACCTGCATTGTATTGCATAGAGTTGATGCAGTTCAATGCATCTGGAAGACACAAGATAAGAAAAAGCTAGTAAGAGCTTATTTCTGATAAGACTGCAATGTTATTAATCAATGCTTTGTGATAGAAGAAAATCTCTTGTCCTTGGAGAACTTTTTACTTAATTGTATATTTCTTCAAAATGCAAAGTTTTCCTGACCTTGACAGAATTCTCATCATATGGAGAAGACTGATAATTTGGGTGAAAGATTCTTGGATTTAATTTAAATTTCAAGATCTCTTTTTAATACTAGCGTACAAAAAGAAGACCCACTCCCAATATATAAAATCGGCATCATTCAGGATTGCCTACTAATTAATAGGTAATTTTCAGTCATTCTAGGAACTTGTTATGAGCTTTGTACACATTCTTGAAATGAGTAAATAAAACCTGTCAGAAACTAATGTAGGCTTAATTTTGATTTGTGACCTGCACTTTCATTTGCTTTTCTATATATTCTGTATACTACTTGTTTTGTAGTATAACTGCCTTATGAGTTATAGTGATCAGAAATATGGATTACAGTTTTTTTTCAGGGTTTGTTTCATGGAATATAAAATGATATAGAAAGGATTCCTCAAACATTCAACTTTTAATTAGGAGATTGCTATTATTTTTGTAGATTCTTGAGTAAAGAATGCACAAAAGCTATTTTTCTGATAGCAGAATGACCCAGGCTTTCTTCCCTGCCATTGCAAGAATGAAGTATACAATCTGGTGCATACTTATTTGGATGTAATTAAGCCCATTGAATGAATGGGATTTACTTCTGAATAAACAGAGCATGGATTTTTCTGGGTATGGCAAATATTACTAGTACAACTGTAGAAGTATTACGTCACACATTCCCAAGAGCCTAAGGGTAAAATTCTGATAATAAATTATTCGAAACCTAAAAGGAATTCAGAATGTAAAGTAGTGGCTTGAGGCCTTATAGGTTGGATTTCAGCCCCCATAATGGTGCTGAATCTCAACTTCTCTGAAGGACACCATCCTGGAAAAGGATGGTGTTGCTTCCTAGGGCATTTCATCCTACTTTAATGAAAAAGTGAATTTATCAGCAAATGAGCATTAATGAATTTGCATCCAAATCCCAGCAATTTAGAAAGAGGAGCCATGTTATGGACTGGTCTGTTTTAGTCAGAAATCTTCTCATATCAATGTAAGAAAAAAGTGATCACTCTTTCCGTAACTATGTTGTGTCTCTGCTCTGTGTCAATTAATCCTCAGTTTTCCCAAGTCTAATCAACTGGCCAAAAGACATTTCCAGAGCCATAGTTCAGATCTGAGAGTGGAAGTGACTGGCTAGGCCCGCGGGCTTGGCCAGCTGGGAGGAGAGAGGAAGGCAGGCAGGGTGGATGGGAGAGAGAGAGAGAGAGAGAGAAAATAAAAGGGAAAGGTGCGCTCGGGCATGAATAGCAAGGCTGACATTTTCCCAGCTACCTTCCACGGGTGGCAAGATGCGCCTTGATGGGGAAGACGGTGCAAAAAAGGAGGAAGCGAGCGGGAAGCCCTCCCCCTGCTCTCCTTTTCTCCTTCGCGCTGGAGGGAGGCTGGTGCGGCGGGAGCAGCTCCAGAGCCTCTAGGTGCCGGAGGAGCGACGCTGGCTGCAGAGGGGGGAGCTGCGGGAAGAGCCGGGGAAGCAGCTGCTTCTTCTGGGTTTCAGGCAATGACGGCGCGGCAAGTGCCTCCTCCCGCTTCGTAGCGTTTGCAGTCGCCCGCTGAGGTCCAAAGCAGCCGCACGCTTCGCGCTTAGGGCGGCCGGGAAGGTTCCTGGGCTGAGCGCGGCGCCCCGCAGGCGGAGTGGGCGGGCTGCACTGGGCCAGTGTGTGCCCGGCGCGCGCCAGAGGTCCTGCACAGCCACAGCCGCCGCCGCCGCCTGGATGCCAGAAGCTCCCCGGGAGCCGGCGGCCAAGGGCACTCAGCGGCAGCTGGAGAAGGAAGAAGACGAAGAAGAGGAAGAAGAAGGCGACGATCCCGTGCGCGAGCGGGGGCCTTTCTAGCCCGCTCCTCCTGGCCATGGCCTCCAACTTTAACGATATAGTCAAGCAAGGCTACGTGAAAATCCGCAGCAGGAAGCTCGGGGTGAGTGAGAAGGGGTGCCGAGCGCGCTTTGTTTTCCCCTCGCTGAGCTCTGTCATCTCTCGGCTGGGTGGATGGTGGAGGTGGAAGGCGGGCAGTCTTCGGGCTAAGAGGCGTTGGGTCTGACTTGGCGAAGATCGGAGGGGTCAGGCTGGTCAGGTGTGGGTGAAAGGGCTCGCTCTTGGCTCGGCTTCGCCGGTCGCTTGCCTGGAGCTGCTGCTGTTGACTTCGGCGTGCCTCCTGCCTGTTCGCCGAGCATTGCGCGCCTGCCTTGCCTGTTCCCCGCGAGGAAGGCAATGTTACGGTATTGGCATCTCGGGTAGGCGTGCGGGCAGGCATCTGGGTTTTACTCGGGAGTAAGCCCCACGGATGTCAGTTAGAATGAATCTGAACAAAGTGTGGATAGGACTGCGGCTTGTTACCGCCGCTGGCTATGCTTTGGCCAGAAATCTGACTGATTTCATCCTGGGAGGATTGCCCTTTTCTCTCAACCTGGTTTTGGGGGAAGGCACACGTTTGGGTTTTGCTTGGCCAGCTTGAGTTGAATCGGCCATGTATTAAAACTTCCTTTCCCTCAAAAAAAAAAAAAAAAAAAAAAAAGGCTGAAATCCTAAATGAGTTAACCATTGAATAAATGCCCCTGAAGATAATGGGGTTTCAGGAGAAAGATTGTATAGGACTGAGCAGTGAAATGCCTTGATGAAATTGTAAGCAGAACAACTCCCCTTATAACCCATCTCTGGTTCAGATAGCAGCGATTAACAGGTTGGAGTGTGACTGGGTCAAAGGTCAGAGTGTTGTAAACTTCGTGCAGAAAGATTTCCTCCTCCTCCTCCTCCAGCAGCCACCAGGAAAAAGCTTGACAGAGCTGTGATTTCAACTTGAACTGCTCTTGGGAGAAGGCAAGCATGAGCAGTGGGGGACAGGAAGAGAAAAAAATGCAGAAAACCCTTGTGATAACTGGATTGATAGGACATCAGGAAAACCCCAGTTAGCTAAGGTTCTCGGCAGGTGGCAGCACCTGGCTGACCTTGGAAAAGCTTAGAAGATAAGCAAGGTTGAGTCTACCTTTGCTTTGAATTGAAATCCACTAGGCGATTCCTGGATTCTACAGTGGAAATTTTAAAGACAACAATGGGAGGAAGCATAGCAAATCACTTTGTTGCCAAAAATTTACTGTCCTTGGCTGTAGTTAGAAGGGGTAGAATACAAGTTAAAGGCTTTTACTTTTACTCAGGTAGTAGTTAAGGTTCAACACCACTGGTGGAAAATATACAGACTCAGTGCAAGGGGCAGATGGTCTAGAGAATTGGCAGGTGGCAGTTGCTTTCTCTTCACTTCAGCTGAAAGACTGTATAGGCCTGCAGTGGGAAGATTTATGGCTTTAAAGAAAACATTACTGTCACTTAGAATGATGATAAGTAATGAAAAGGGATTCACCTAATTTTTGGCATCCTGGTCTGCTTCAGAATTTGGCTGGCTACCAGGAGTCAAAAAAGGTTGTAGCTCTTACTGAATGCTGTCATTATACTTACCCAGAATAGAAAGTTCTTTAGGAATTTGTTAGGAAATATGACTGTTCTGAGAGTATTTCACAGGTTGAAGGCAAATACTATACAAAGTCTCATGTATAACCAGATGGAGATATTTGCTCTTGTTACACCTTACCAAAATTTTTTCCTGCTACATGTCAAATAAATGTCTATTTGTTATTGTAACCTGACCAATTACTAGATTTTTTTAATGATAAAAGATACAATACAATCAGTCAATACTATTTTCCATTTTAAAAAGTTTTCCTGGGAAATTATTGTTTGCTTTGCATAAGTTACCTGCTACTTGCTGCGAACTGTATAATTTACACCTTACTTGTCAAACAATATCAGAACTAGTTTGTCTCCAATAAGTTGCTCTATACATACTTAAAAACACTGTACATAATTGAAAAAGTGAGTACAAAAATGCTGCTAGTTATCATGATTTATTTGTGTTTATTTCAGTGATAATTGGAGTTGTTTCTTTGTTTGGAAAGGGTGTTCTTTTTCAAATCACAACGTTAAATTTCTTTTAATTTTTTTAAGTTTGAAAAATAAACATAGTTGCCATAAAAACAGAACAAATAGTTACATATATAAGTTCATCTATAGCCATCATATTATTCTTTTTTGGAACAAGCAATGCTATGGTAGGGGTAGGAAAGGAGAAAGAAATAGGTAGCCAGGGAATTAAGGCATCATGAAAGAAAAAGAAAAGGAAGCATAGTCAATTTTAGTTTACTAAATCATTATACCATTCCATACCATTTGGTTTTGCAAAGCATCCTTGGTGTCTTCAGAATCATATATTACTTCATATATTTTGTTCTTTAAGCTTCTTGTCTCTCTGATTTTCATGATCTCATCAACTTCATCCAATCAATAATTGTGTCAGTTATCCTTGACTCATTCAGTCTTCCTTGTTTTATTTGTTTTCTAGTTCAGTCTTCATTAATTTTCTTTATATGAACAAAAGTACCCAATCTACATTCATTCAGTACCTATTCATTCTTGCTTGACACTATTTCTTCTTTCAAGTAACATTTTTAAATTTGAACTCTCCTGTTCCGGCAGGCCTGGGGCTGATGTCCCCGGGGAGGGGGGGCGGGATATGATCGGACTCGCGGTATGACTGTATTATTTTATTGTTTTATGATTGTTTTAATCTCTGTACGCCGCCCTGAGTCCTTTGGGATTGGGCGGCATATAAATAAAATTAAATACAAATACAAATACAAGATGTAACTATATCATTTTTAAAAAAATCTCATATAAAATTGAGGTAAGTATTGCTAAAACATAGTAATTTATAGACAAAACAAATGCTTATATATTTAATTAGAGATTTTCTCATGCTAAATATTTCAATTGTTTTCAACAGATACCATTTTGTACAAAAAAAGCAACTCTCTAGACCAGGGGTTTCAAACTGGCAGCCCATGGGCTGGATGTGTCACGCACAGGCCACGCCCACTGCAGCTTCACAAAGGCAAAAAACATTGTGATATATCACAATATGTCACATGACGTGGTTGAGTTTGACACCATATTCTAGATCTCCATTTAACCTGGTTTATTATCTAACTTGGTTTATCTAACCTGTTTTTTTTTAGCATAATGATTAGCAAAGAATTCTTCAACATTGGAAAGATAGCACAAGATCAGTTTGGAAATATAGGATTGCCACTAAGTCCAATAATGACTTAGGAATTATTTAGAAAGGGCTTTTGCCATGCTCCATATGAAACAATATATTTTTTCCTTGTTTCTGTGACTTAGTATTGAAAATGACTAATGTCAAATATTTTTCCACCCCTACCACTCTATAGCAGTGGTATGTATATACTGATGCTTTCCAGATTTTTGCTTCCCATGTAAACTGAAGTTGATAGTACTGTAGTTGGTCTAAAACAAAACAATTGACTAGCACCCAATTGCTTATCAGTGATTTAGTTTCAATAAGTTAATGATAAAATTCCCATTCAACTTTAAAACTCCAATCCTTGATATAAACAATACATATTGTCATTTTAAGATGATGTAAGTGAATTTTAAATATTTAATAATAATGGCTACAATGTTACAAAAAGTTACTTCCTTTTGAAAAACAACGGATAAATGGATTTTTGCAACAAGATCTGATGTACAGAATCAATATGTTAGTTAGATTTTGCTAGACATATTACCAATTGGAATTGGAACATATTTAATAATCCCAACAATCAGCATTTATTGGTCTCTGGTACCTTATATTTTTTATTGTTCATGTTGATCTGTGGAACATTGTTTACTGGATTGACTTGCCCTGATAAAATTATTGAACTAAGTGAATCTCTCTCTAGTATCTCTTTAATGTTTGTTGTTATACCATGATGAGGGCTGCACTAGTTTTGGGCCTTACGCTGTTTCTGGAAATACATATGGTTTGATAATTTAATTAAACACTAGACAACCTGTGTCCTGTTTGGTCATTGCTTCAGAGATATTTCTTTACTTAAACAGAGAAACAGAAAGACCAAGGGAAGGCAACAAAAAAATAGTAGTGGGGATAGGATAAACTTCTGACTTCATACTGGTTTCGCCGTATTTTGGAAGTATTCTGAAAGTTAGCCCATTTAAGGTACCTTGGTTCAAAATTTGTTGTTCCATGTTGCACCATTTCATCCAGTTAAAGGTCATGACAATGAGAATTCTAGTAGCATATAGATTGTATATTTTTGGAATTACACTACAACTTCAGGAATCTTCATTTCTGTTGTAGTGGGTATGTTCAGTGAAGCAGACATGGGTTAGATAAAACTTTTACCGTTTTCATAAGCTGCATTAGGAGGAGAGTTAGCTGTGTAGTTAAAATTGTTTTTATCTCAAGGGATTATATGTACTTAGTATATTATGTGAATGTACTCCCCTTTCAGGAGTGGTAAAGGGGAGGCCTGAGAAATTTCATATAGTTCTGTAAGTGACTAAAAGCTTATCATATTGATAGTATATATTATCTCTGCTTGGGTGTGCTGTTCTTTGCTAAAAGGGAGTTCATGACTAAGGCAGATACAATCGCAAACTGACCTTTGAAGTGTTTTCTTGACATGTCTTCTGAACAAAAGCATTGACATTGCTGGAATCCCTGCTACAGAATCTTCAATATTTTTGTTTCGGAATTTTATATTTTTGTTTTAAGATAGCAGTTTACATTTTTTGGAAGCTGTATTTTGGAACCTGTGTTGTAAAAGGAAAGACGTGCTAAAGCCCATAGTCATGCCATTTGAAACAAGGCTAGCAGATGGCATTTTCTTATTTTCTTTTAGTTGCCAGAAACCCAGGACTGAATGTGAAAACACTTACTCACATATAGATTAGGGGAAGGTTCTAAGTGAGATGAATTTTTATGTCTCCCTGAAGATGGCAGAATGACCTATAAGGTTTACCCTAAAAGGCAGGAGTCTTGGTCAGAGCATGAAAAATGAGAAG